ACCTAATAATGCTTCCAGGAGCTGGGACGTGCAAATGGTTGCTCGTCCCACCCACGCAGAGCCCTGGCCAAGGGGGTATTTCGGTGTGACTTCCTTCTTTTATTCAAAGTCCACGATGCCAAAGCGCTCCTGGTGATTATTTTTATTGAACACTTTGCTCTTCGCCCTTCTGCAAAATATTTTCCTATTTCCCTGTATTAAGATGTGGTGCATTTTAATAGCCCCAGGTCTGTTGCCATGGGTTGGGAGGCTTAGCTCATTCCCAACCTTTTAATGAAGAAACCCAGGTTACAGGCCCCAGTCCAAAAAGGAGGGGGTCCTGCAATGCCAGGACCTGCATATTTTCCAGGCCCCAGACAACTCTCAAGCCAGGAGAAGACTTTGAAGTGTCCCCTCACCAACCAGTTACAGAAGGGGAAAAAAAGAGTCTAATTGCTAAAACCACATGCCAAGACATTAAATTTACATTAAAAATTGTGGAGTTATTCTTTCTTCTTTAGAGATCTTGCTGATCAAAAGTTAAAGTTACTAAGAAACATCTCACAACAATACTAAACATGCGATTTTAGAGACCTGATTACAAAGAAACATTCAGAATTTCTTCTAGGAGCTACCTGACTCCTGGTAGATTTCAGTTGACTAAATTTGACTCTAAGTATTGGTGACAGAAGGAGCATCTCCTTCGAGGAAGACTCTGAAAGTTAGAAGATATGGAAGAAGAAAGAAGTGATTGTCACAGGAGTTTGGAAGCTGTTTAAATAAGCCCTCTCTGCCTCCCTAGGATTAGGCTACTGCAAGGAATTTCAGTGCCAAGGAAATGTAGCAGTTGGGAGTTGAACACACGCGGTTGGGCTTACAGGCAGAGAACACACGCGGTTGGGAGAACAGGCAGCTGTCTTCCAAGAGGGGATTTCTCCCTGCACAGTGCCCTCCCCGGGTACCCTACCTATTGAAAAATAGAATCCTCCAAAGATCAACCACCATGAAAATCCACCTAGCAGTTTCATTACCCAGCTAGAGAATCTGTCCCCAGTTAAATGCAAACGCATGAGCAGGAGTAACACACTATGGATTGCTGGATGCCTGGGTGCTCAGAGTTGTATTCAATCTTTTCCCAGAGGTGCCTAAGGGAGGATGTTTAACTGGGAAAACAGGGGAGAGCCCAAGGTTAAAAGGGGACAAAGGGATACCTGGAGGACAAATGAGGGTGTCCTGAGGAGGGACAAAGGTATCGGAGAACACATGGATTCCATTCTGGTTCTGAATGGGCAAGCCCCACGGGGTGCTAATCTGGGGGTCAGGCACGTGGGAACCTTGAGTCAGAAGAGGCAAATCCTCTCCCCCAAAATCAGTTCAGTCTCCATAGGAGGACACTACCCAGCAAGTTAGTAGCATAACCAAGAAGGAATTCGAGATGTTAGACTAAGATAAAAACAAATAAATGCTGCCAATGGGCTGGTGATGGCAACTCATGCAAACCTATAACCCACTGAACACTAGGTCTGCCTTGGTTTCATTTTGCAAAACATGGCTTGTAAGTTAAAATTATTCCTGCCGGCAAGTTCTCCTATTGTAAAAGAACAGGACATTAAGGAAAAATCTGTTTCTAACTAGAGTTTCTTATAGCTTATGCTTTCCTGACTCAAGTCCCCATTCACTTACTCCCTCAACAAGCTTTGGAAAGGCTTACAGAAAATAAACAGGTGCCACTTCATAACTAAATAATTCCCCAAATTAAATCCACCTCTTTCTCTACCAGAAAATAATGCCTATTCCTGTTCCTTCCACAGATACACAGAATTACAGACGATTCTCCATCTGCCATGCTAATGGGTCAATGGAAAAAACAAAACAAACAAACAAAAACCCTCAATCTTGAAGCAGAGTTTCAACATCCTCCCTCAGAACAAACAACAGACTGAAATGGGCGGCTAACAATTAGTAAAAGAATGGACTGATTCACTTTTTACTACCCTTCTTGAACCTAGAGGGAGTGCTAGTAAAAAAAAATAAAATAAAATAAAAATCTCACCGGGCAACTGAATGGAGAAGGTTGAGGCAAACAAAACAAAAGAAAACAAAAACCCAAGATCTAGATGAACTTCAGGGTCATGGAGCCACCTGAAGTGTGATGGATGTTATAGACCTTTGGCTTCTAAAAACACATATTATTTTGCATAAAATGTCAAGAGATACATGAACCCTTTGGTGTCCATTCATGGACCCCCAGATGTATAGAATCTCTGGCCTAATTTCTAGAATTTACTCAACAATATAATCGCCCACTGAGAGGTACCTATAAAAAGGCTCTCTGCCACATTCTTTATAAAAGCCTATTACTGGAAACAACCTAGAGCTCCATCAAGAGGGGACTAATTAAGTAAGATCATGGCCAGTAACAAGAATGGGATGAATCTATGAGCACCCCAGGAAACAAAGGCCAAAAATGTGTTTTTACTGAAAAACACAAGGTAAGAAACATTGGGCCAAGCACAACTGTATAAACATATTATTTCTGAAAGGGCACACAAGGAACTAGAAACAGTGTGTGTGCCTGAGATGGAAGCCTGGGGCTATAAAGGGCTTGAAGTTGGCAGAAAAATTACTTTTCTATTTTTAATCCATGTTATTACTTTTTTAATTAAAAGAAAACCAGTTGGAGAGAGATAAATAAGTAGCTGAATGGAGAGAGAGAGAGAGAGAGAGAGAGAGAGAGAGAGAGAGACTGATGGTTTAAAAAAATAAACTTCTGGTCTAGCTAAGTCCCAAAATATCCCCAGCCTTGAAAACAGTTGATATCGTAAAACATTTGGCACCAAGACATAAATAGGAAAGTATCTCATAAATGCTTTCCCCAGCCCAGTGGGGCTGCCGCCGCCACTCAGAGCAGCTAAACCCCCTCTCCGACAGTGTGGCTTTCCTGGCTTTTCCTCTCGCCGAACCAATTATGGAACATTTTAACAGCAGCACCAATATTATTTTTTAAAGGCCGATGTTATTCGCTAAATAGCCATTAAATTGATCTCCTTGCTCCATTTACAGCCAGCTTAAGGGCAAATCCAGATAGCACAAAGAATGCATCCCGCTCGATCTGCATGCAGCAAGTCAGCAAATAGCCATTATCAGCTTTAGAGTCTTCAACTGCCTGACCCCCCGCCCAGGGGTGGCCAGGTGAGCAGAAGAGCGACCTTTCTGGAGATAGCTGGGCTCCCTCAGGCTCGGCAAACCATCTCTGTGCTCTCACGAGGGATCTTCGCCTTACATCTGACCAGTTAGCAAGGGCGACCGAGGGTAGCCTGGTCACAGGTTGGGCCTAGGTGTGTGTTCCTCAGCAGAAGACAGGACTGCATCTCCCTCCCACACAGCCCCCCACTCACCGCTGAGATCCAATAGTCCCGGGAGGCTCTCCTGCAGAGCCAACTCTCACTGACCCTATGTTCTCCTGGCCCCACTGGATAGGGTCTATCCAAGGGACTGCCACTGTTCACCCTCTTTGATTGACAGGCTCTGAATCCCCCCACTGTGGCCTTGAAAAAAAAAAAAAAAAAGGATAGAACAAAATCTGGCCAACTTTTTCACCCAAGGGAAGGCTCAGAATCAGAACTTTTATGAGGTCTTCAGAAGGGTCTGCAGAATAGCATCACATAGCTAGTAAGGGCTGACAAAAGCCTTCTGTCTCTGTGTCCCCATGGTTTGGCATGACAAATGACAAGCTTTCCTGGAGGAACTATCCTCCAGACCCTGACTCTCCAACAGAAGGGGAACAGCAGAAAACACCTAAGTCGCTCTGATTCGAGTATGAATGGCACATGTGATTGGAGGCCGGGGGCAGGATGTTCGTGCTAACCCTCTCAGCTGATATTCGACGAGTCTGCACTTGGTGATAACGTCTCACCGAGGAAGTTGTCAGAGGCGGTGAGGATCAACCCAAGTGGGGAAGATACTTGAGTTCTGCACGAATAATTCGTCCCGGACATGGGCGGAACACAGATCAGTGAGAACGGGCATCGCTGTAACTTCAGCACATTTACTCCCCCTGAGGGTCTAGAGATCGCCTGAGCCTACACGTGGTGAAAAGATCAAATTCAAATGCCAGCACAGAAACGTGAAGGACTCTCCTCCCTTGAATCACTAATGCGAAGACAGTGACCAGGAGCCGGTCTGTTTCTCCCCGATTCGTCAAGAGAGAACCTTGTGCAAGGGAGGAGGCTTCCCATTCTCAGCATCTTTTCTGTGGTTTTAGCCCCAAGTCCGTGGTCTATGGAAGAAGTGGGGAGGGCAGGGGGCATACATTTCACAGCCTGGGACTTCAATCAATTCAAAGGGAAAGAAAGGCACCTACCGCTCCTCGTGCTAACTGGCCCTTCAATTAGCCAAATGCCCTGAATGAGCACGCGATGATGAGACAAGGAGGGACAGTCTTCCCCAGAGACTGGAAAACCATGTACCCCTTCCAGTGCACCCTCCACTCCTTGTCAGTGGGCCACAGCCCGGTTGCACCTTCCCAGCATTTAGCAACTGTGAGGTGCTCCCTCTCGGGGAGGGTGTTCCCTCTACCTTAAGAGAAAAGGTGTTTGGGGGTTTTCTGACTCCCAACTGAATCAGTGAGAGAAACAGCTAGTTTCCCAGGTGCATCAAAAAGAGGAAAGTCGTGTGGATGCAAAGGAGCATTCACGGTCCATCAGACAGCAGGAGATGGAGGGACAAACACCAGGTGCTGTAACCCAAATCAGCCCAGTGCCCCCAGAGGGGTCCCGGTGCACTTGGCCCAGCTGGGAAGACAAAGAGAAGGCCCTGTGAGCTCCTGTGTGGTAAGCAGGTGGTTTGGAGAGCAACAGGGAAGGAAGGCACGGGGCCAGACACCGGTCCAGCCCTGTGCCACGGTGGGGTAAGTCACATGTATGGACAGGACAGAACACGGGCCTGTGCCTTGTCCTTCCTCTGCCACCAGGCCCGAGCCTAGGCTGCCTGACCCAGCCCAGGGTCTGCAGGGAGCTTGCCTGAAATAAGCCCAGCTCTACCTATCCGGATGGAAAGTTCACTCTCTGGGAAGAGCAGCCTGGGACCCTCAGTGTCAGACTTCTTCATCGATGCAGGGGCGAAGTTCAGTGCCAGGGCCGTCGGGGGGTCTTCTGCGGCACCCTGAAACAAGAAGCAGTGACGTCACTGTAACACCCCCACCACCTTCACTCCCCAGATTCCTCCAGCTCAGAGCCGCCTGGGCAGCCGGCCGGTCTCTCCCAAAAGCACCGGGGTTGGGCTCAGAAGGAAGACGACAAGCTTTCTGGTTGTAGAGCTTCTGGGGTGACAAAAACCCTGGGATCTGAGGATCGATCGATGCTGATCCTAGAAATGGGAAGAACACATATTGGGAAAGAGGGGGGCCCCCAGTCCACGCTTCATCACCGCAGGGCAAAGGGCACAAGGGACTCAACTCCCGAACTGTCCCAAGAAGACTACGTGGCAGGTTCTCTCGGATGGCAGCCTTGCTGCATACAGGAACAAGGTCAACATTTTTAGGAACTGGCCACCTTCACGTTTCTCATGAGATCCAAAGGAGAAGCAATCCAAACAAAAGCACCTCAAAAGAAGGAAACAGCGACAGTCACGGGGACCCAACATATTTGGAGTTAAGTCCAGACGGACTTTAAAACAGCCATGTCACCCTGGAGCTAGTTAATGTGACTGTCTCTACACTAACCAGGCAAAATCTCAATTTCAATCCCCGATGTTTATTTAATACTTATAGACCGCCAACTTCGTGGCTCCTTGGTGAACAAAACAAAGTCATAGCTTCTCATGAAGCCTACATTCCAGTAGGAACAGATAAATGAATCCGTAATGGGGCCGAGCTTCTCTTCCAAAGGCATCTGTGGAAACCCCCCAACCCTGCTGATGGCTTACAAATGCACAGGATCCCGATGGGGATGAGGAACATGGGTAAGCACCCCCAAAAGGGCTTCCATCCTTCACCTTCACCCAAACACACTGATGCTAGTCACTAAGGGAAGGTGAGTAGAATCATCTTGGTGGGCAAAAAAAAAAAAAAAACAAGATTTTTTTTGAAATCCAGGCAAAAATAGTTCCAAACAGAAGTTTCCATTTAAAATATGTGCCTCTAATATGGGAGAGGAGAAGACTGATGATCCGATCATTGAAATGCATCCATTTATAAGCAAGGACTAAAAGTCTTGGCTAAGCTGCTTTCATGAAGGAATCTCATCAAAGTTATGCCTGGCTGTGTCTTACACACACACACACACACACACACACACACACACACACACAAGCATGCACAAGTTGCCTTCTTGTTTACCAATGTCAGTGTGCATCAGAAGCAGAAAGAGAATCTAATAATTCAGATATTTTAATTCATTATTTCTTTCTGATGACATGCTGAAAATGAAAACATAAGCCCTTCCTCTCATATCTTCCCGTTTGTCCAATAGATCAATATTGTCCTACACCACTTTACTGGCAACGTTCTCCATAACACACTTTAAATAAGGATAGCGACACCTCATTGAACCTTGTTGTTTGAAGGTGGGGTTGGGGGGGAAAGCCTCGTGGCTCTGTTTGAGCTTCCCTCGTTCCGTGGTCGGGTCCCTTTGTGGAGTGCCAGGGGCTGCAGGATCTCCCCTGCTCTGCCCCTGGGAGGAGCACCGAGAGAGGCGGCCTGTCACACCGTATCACACTCGAGGTTGGCAGTACAGATGGGCAGGATCGTGAGGACAGAAGGGACTTGGAGAGGGCCAGTCTCTCCCCCGTAGAAAGTCCCTGTCGGCACCCCCGGGTGACAGCTGGTGTCTGCGCTGCGCCGTGGACCAGAGCCACAGCTCTTTGTTTGTTTATGTGCTTTAATTATTTCTCATTCTCTGCCTCACGCTGACATTGGAGGAATTACTGCAGCAATAAAGGATGTGTTTCACCACAAGAATGTGCCAGCTGACTTTCCTTCCTTCATCTTCCTTCATAATGTGATTTTTTTTTTTTTAAGATTTTATTTATTTATTTGACAGAGGGAGACACAGCGAGAGAGGGAACACAAGCAGGGGGAGTGGGAGAGGGAGAAGCAGGCTTCCCGCGGAGCAGGGAGCCCGATGTGGGGCTCGATCCCAGGACCCCGGGACCACGACCTGAGCCGAAGGCAGACGCTTAACGACTGAGCCACCCAGGCACCCCAATAATGTGATTTTTTTATAATGTGATTGATGCATAACTGGGGAAAGGATATGGAAAGAGGACCACTTCATTACAGCAGGAACACCACAGCATTCAGATGCCTGGGCACTTGGCCCATTTAGCAAGGTGCGGCTTGGAGAGACCCAGTTTTCACTGAGAACAGTAGTTTTCAGCCTGTGTGATTTTGCCCCCTCCTCCCGTCCAGGGGACACTGGCAATGGGCACTTTTTTGTGCAGGGAGTGGGGGAGAGGAATGGTCTTGGCATCTAATGGGCAGAAGCCAGGGGAACTGCTAAACATCCTAACTGCACAGGACAGCCCCCCCCCCCGCCCCAAAGAATGGTGCAGCCAAATGTCACCAGGCTGAAGCTGAGTAACACTGCTTTCGAACGATTTAGGATGGTCAGGGCCCCAAAGCTCCTCATGTTGTTGGTAATGCTGGAAACTCATAAACTCACAGACCCTCTTTTTACTGTGAAGGTTAAGAATTTTGCCACTTTTTCTAGGAAGCCTGCCTGCCTTCGTGTATCTGGCAAATTCTTACGAAGCAGCAACTGTGTCCCAGAGCTGTGCCAGGTTATGGCAACACAAAGTTAGCCAAGTCCCCTGTCCTCATGAATCTTGAGTTCTCCTTCCAGAGACAGACAACAAAATAACAATAAATGCAGAACAGAGTGCCAGGAAGTGATAACGCAAGAAGACACGGGAGTCCCAGTCAGCAGAGCAGGATGCGCCCTGGGTTTCGGCGTCGGGCGAGGCTTTGTTCCAGCACCTGACAGGTGTTGCTAGCCGGCTGGGAAATGTTAAGGATGGAGCCCTCCCCTCCAGGTAAGACGCTGAGGGAGGCCTCTCTGAGACCGTGGCGTTTGAGCAAAGACCTGGATGTCAGGGAAGAAGCCACAATGATTTCTGAAGACCGTGTTTCCGGCAAGGCCCAAGAGGCAAGCATCCCCCTGCCCCACCATCTCCTTTCACCATTTTATCCCACCTCCAACTCACTTAGAAGCTGTCCTTCTAAAAGCTAGACAAGGACCCAGCACATCCCACCTAGCCCGGGCCCCTCCCGTGCGCCCCACCCCACACCCCACCTGGGGCCACGGGGCAGCAAGAAAGCTGCAGGGCGCACCCACAGGGTGAAGCCCAGCACTGCTTCTGCACCCCATGCCTGGCAACGCTCCCTACGTGTCTCTGAGCCCAGACACGGCCGGCTTCCCAGCACTCCTTCCACGTTCCCTTCTGGGATTCTCAACGTCCCGCACCCTCCCCACTCAACCGCTGATGAGGACAACAGAAATAGAACTACATCCCTCGGAACTTCAAGGAATGGCTCCCACGGGAGATGCCAGTGCTGCTTTGTTGGCTTGATCATAATGCCCATGGCGGTGGGGGAAGAGTCAGGAAGCACCTGCAGGGGTGACCTGCAGAGTTGACCCCACCCCTCGCTCCCTGGAGCCCCGGCTGCTCCCCGAGCCCACAGACGGCAGGTGGAGGGGGCGCTACCTTGAACACAGCCTTGCTCTGCCTGCCAGTGACCAAGACCCTGGGGAGAAGTTCCTTCTCTACATCTTCCTCTTGCTTTGCTGATGGCAAAACAGCCCTCTTTACTTGTTATTACTGCCTTACATTTCTGGGGCTTTTCTGTTCTTTTGTAATCTTCTGCAAAGCTTTTGCATTCATGCTCCCCACTTGATCCTTGCTGGCCCCGGCGAGGGCAGCAAGGTGAGAGCATGATCCCCTCCAGAGCAGACATCTGACTAATGCAAGCGGCTCCTGACTCTCCATCGCAGCCCTGAGAGCCGGCTCGGCCGCCCGTCGGTGGGAGAGGGTCTGGCAGTTTCGGTTGGGCTCCTGCATTGCTGTGGCACCAAACTGTTAAGGTGCCAGACATGAGGCTCCTTCTCAAAGTGCAAATCTTGATTTTCTTCAGCACCACCCCCTCCCCCCAAGCCCTCCTCCGGGCCCTCTCCCCCATCCCCACCCACCCCGCCAAAATCCAGCATGGTCCTGAAAGCAGGGAGGGGGCTGCTGGGAGGCACCAGGCAACACCACCCAGGACCACCGAACTTGAGATTGCTGTCTTCTTGCAACAGAATTATTATTAATTATTATTATTATTATTAATGGCTCAGGGCAAGTATCTGGTTCAGAACAAACACAGCCATTTCCACCCACTCTGGAAGGGCTGCACAAAGGGGCAGGAGACGGAGAATAATTAACACTTTCCAGAAGCCAAAGAGAAGGAATGGAGAGGAAAGGGAAGAAGGAAGAAATAAAATGGGGGGGGGCCAAAAGAAAGCAGCCCCCCAGGAAAGCAGCCTGCCCTTTCCACGAAAACAGAAAGGCTTCAGAAAATAATACATATATCGCCTCTAAGAAATACAACCCAGGCGCCGCTCATCGGGGTTTGCTGTCCCAGGCATGAGGGGGACAACCGCTGCTCACTGAAGTTTCTAGAGCCCCAAAGAAATGAGTCCCACAAGGAAAAGCCTAGAGCACAGCCAGGGGGATGCAGCCATGTCCGGATGAAGAAGTCTGTAAGGGCAAATGGAAGCCTCCTGCCAAAGCACAACTGGACACGGGTCACTAGGAGCCAAAGCGCTGCAGGCCCCAAAACTCATCGCAAGCAGTTCGATGCATTTGCTCCAAGTCCCAGTGGCCGACTTCCACGTGTCCACCTGCCTCTGGCTCTTCTCCCGCTAGGATGTCAACTGCTACGAACACCTGCCAGGGAGGGCAGAGCAGACCAGCCTCTGATACTCATGGGCGCGCTGCCTGCCACGGTCGTTCAGGCTGGGGGAGTCCTGGGATGACTCTGAGCTCCCCCCGACCCCACAGAGTGCGGGCTCTTGAACTGAGGTTGGCCAGCAAGTCAGAGCTGTCTAATGAGGGATGGAGGGAAAGGTCAGAGGATTAACGGGGGCCCCTGCCAGCCACCCAGCCACAGATAAAGCGAGGCAGTG